GGTTAAAACAAGCTGATGGAACAATTGGCAAACCGCTTCTAAAAACACAATCCCCTTATAGAAATTTTTTTTAAAAAAAATTGGCAATAACCATCCTAAAAACTCTGTTTTTATTACCAGAAAAAACGTCTTAAAGCAAGTGAAATCAAATTTCTCAGTCACAGAACTCATCTGTATACAAAATCCACGGCACAAAACTCTCCTCACATCCAACACATTAAAAAATTATTTATCTTCAACTGAAATTGTAAAATATCATTTAAAACCCAAAACATAACAAACCAGAAAACCACCAAAACTCTCCAAAATTCATTTCTTTTTTCCCTGTTTCCTCAACAACCCATCACCAACCCAAAAAGATGGAAAAATGGTTTTCCACGCACAAAAAGATTAAGAGAGAGAGAGACAGAAAGATGATCATACCTTCTCAGGAAGTGGTGCAGTGCTGCCTTCATCCTCAGCACCACACCCTTATCGCCGCTTCGGCCACCGCTATCGTACTCATCCATCTCTTTTTTCCCCTACCTCTTCCTTCAAAACCCTAATTTCCTCTTCTTTCTGCTCCTCCCTTGACCCTGACCACTCAACGACGTCGTTTTCTTCACAGCATTCTCATTCTCATCATCATCATCATCATCCACCACCACTACCGGCTGTACAATTCCTTTAACATCCGCGACTTCTTTCTGGTTATTCCCCCTGTTGTTGTTCTGTACAGCTCTCCTCCCTCCCGGTCGCCTCTGCCTCGTCGCCCGTACAGTTTCTCGGCTTCTTGATGTCCGGTTCGTCTAGGTCCGGCTTGATCGTTGGTCGACGGCCTCTGCGCACACCGCTACGCAGTTGAGGCATATCGATCGTCCATTAATTTGGTGAAAACCCAAAACCGGCCTTCATCAAGCTTTTAGATTGAACCTGATCGCACATGAAAGATCGATCCAGTACTAGAAAAGAAAAAAAAAAAATCAGAAAATGTAAAAAGAGAGAAATCGGATGATCGGCGGTGTGTATGTGTAGATAAACGCGTGGAGAGAGAGACAATTAGGGTTTGGATTTGGGAGATCTGTGGAGGGAAATGAAAACAATGGCTCCAAAGTGTTCTCTAGAGAGTTGTAGAGATGGAGAGGAGAGGGAGAGGGAGAGGGAGAGAGCCAAACGCTACCCTGATATTTTTTATTTAACTTTTTTTTCATATTTTCCAGGTATTTTCTTGGGATAATTACAACATAGGTCCTATAGTTTGGATCTATTACAAAAAACATACCTTCAAAGTTTGAAAACTTTGAATTTTCTCTAGTTTGAGTTTTCTACTAAAATACGGTTCTTCCCTTTGTACTATGATTTCTAACTTATTTCTCCTTTATGATATTAACATAAGAGCTTAGTTTGAACCCATATTTTCTATATAAAAGTATCTTTGCAACATATGTTTTTAAGGGTTTTTAGTCAAAACGTATTTTGCACACATGTTTTTATATTGGAGAACATGTGTTTAAATTACATTTTTAATGTGATCAACAATAAATTGAGAAATAATTCAAAAAGAATGATAACAAAAGAAAATAACATCCAAAAAAATCCTTGTTTTGATAAATATACACCTCTTATTTGATTTTTCATTTCACAATTTTCTCGTGACATAACTTTTTAGAGAATAGAGATGGTGAACTTTTGGAGATGATGTCATCTATGTTTTTGTTCCCAACTATTTATTTTGCCTTATTCGACAAAAAAGAAACAAACAAACAAACTCGTCACCTCTTCTTCACTCTTATGTCGTCTAATTCTTTATATTCTTCTACTACAACACACACCCCAAGTACACACCCTAACCCCCTTTTGAAGTTTAACACTTTCTCATTTTTGGTTTTGCAAGTATAAATGGGTCGTGAGTCAATACACTCCTCATCTCTCTTCTGTCTCATTTTAAGGTGACACACTATTGTTGATAATCGGTTCTATTTTAAATTAGGTCTCTACTTGTATGCTCTCTCTCATACTTAAATATATGTGCATACACACATTTATTTGTTGGTAGAAACTTCAAGGTGGTTTGCTAGAACAATTGTGTTTCTTTCTTAGAGTTTCATCGTTTAATTTAACAAAAGAATTAAAACTAATATTTTCTAGAGGCCTAATTTCTACAAGGCTTGATGCAAGGTGTGCATGCCAATTAGTTCATCTCTAAATTAGTGACACGAATGACGCACCAGTGACCACTCAAGAGAAAAATAAGGGGAGTGATTGTTCAGTGCTAAAAAGCATAGGTAAATACCTATCCTAGAAAAATTATCCTTATACATTCGTCAATTTTCGGGTCAAAACGTTTGGACCGAAACTTCAATCCAAGTATTGGCCAAATTTAGATTGATTTGTGACCTTGTTGTCTAGTACTACTTCGAGTATTATAAATCTAAGCTCAAATACTACTTTTTTCCTAGTTAGACTCAAGTTACGAATACTTCCTAAATAGTGTTACTTTCAAAAACAAAAGAACCCCTACTAGCATGCGCCTAAATCACTTCCACAACACCCCCCCCCCCATTTCCCTATCCTCATTCTGTCACGTTTCCTTCCACTCTCTATCCCATGTCAATCTCACTCCAAAAAAATCCTAAGTTTATGTTATCTCCACCTTCAAATTCAAGACACACACGTGCACGTGTGTTTATATGCATTAACAATCTAGATGCCTGTGATTGAGGGACTTGGGAAAGAGAAGCATTATCAATCTAGATGTTTGTGATTGAGGGACTTGGGAAAGAGGATTCTAAGATGGAGAATTTTTTTGTAGTGTGGAAGATGAGGTGGGCATTTAGCAGTGCCGTGTATAAAAACGAGAGCAAATGAATGAGATGTTGATTAGATTGCGACTATTTAGCAACATAGCACTTTTGTCATAATCTATATTTACCATGAATAGTCTTAAATGGGTTACGATCTTTGATTTATAAAATTTAAAGTACTAGTACTTGCACACGTGCGTGCAACAATTTTGAAAATAGATAATTGGATAGTAAAATTGTGGTATGGATTATCATCTTATTTATGGTACACCTGAAACAAAACCAATTTGCTTGAGTGTTTAGAAGTAACAAATATCATCCAATTTTACATCCGTCTACTATTACTGTTAATTTCCTATAGTACATAAAACACAACAAGGATGTTAATTCACTTGCATATTTCGTAAAAATTAAAAAACATGGTACCAACATGCTTATATCGGCATATATTCAAATAATATAGGAAACTAATGCTAAAAAATGACATTATTTCTTAATATCTAAAAGATGAATCAGTTTGTCAAGATTCTGAATCAAACAAGAACAAACACCAAGTTAAATCCAATTTCCACAATTAGGCTGCACTTGTATTGTAAAATCTAATGAGCCGACTTGCACAATGTCAAGTAATCAAGTAACATGGTTTTCAAATTTTCATTCAAAAGCTAATGTAAAAGTTTAAGCATTGTGGCATGATGATACACCCAGAAAAAAATATTGTTAAATCTTTGGGTCATATCTTTGGGGCGAAATACAAATAAGCAAAACAGTTGAAGCCTTAGAAAAGAAACAAAATTTTCAAACAGAAGGACCAAACTAATGATGCTCACATAGCCATTGGATCGTTGAGTAGCTGCTTTGACTTCCTCAATTGTAAACATTGTCACAAAACCAAATCCACGGTTTGAGAATTATAACTTTGAGAATAGATAATTGTACGGTAAAATAAAATTGATTGAGACCGATAAAAGAAAATATCAGTCATACAACTAATTTCAAGCACGGGCCCAACTATAAACATATAAAAACGATTCAAATAAAATATCATATCAATAATTCATCATCAAAATGTATAATCAAACAGCGACACGCCATAAAGAGTCTTCAGTAACACTTGCATGATTTTTTTTCTTAAGTACAATCATTTCATCAAAGTCCAAAGCTTGGCACTAAATATTAAGAAATTGCACACTTCAGCATCACCTCCAGCTTGTTACAATTAGATGTATGGGTTCCACATTTGCCAGATGCACTCCCAACCTCCTGATCCTCTTGTCGCAGTCCACCGGTCCCCTTCCACAATTTGACAATAGATAAATTGCATAGTAGAATTGCGGCCTGTTTATCATCTTATTAATAGTATACCTCAAACCTCACATGTCCACTATCACCCTTCATTTCCTATCGGACATAAAACACAACAAGGAGGTTAATTCACTAGCATATTTTGTGAAATTTAAAAAGCAAAGATTGAGTTTGTACGGTTCAAGAAAATAACATTTTATTGATCAATACTATTTTTTTAATTATGAGTTGGTATCATAACGTTTGGCGATAACCTTATTTATGGATTCTTCCAATAATACTTTTTAGCATTAGCAATATCTATATATCTTTATGCCATTGATAGAATTTCAATGAACTATTATATTGGGCTTTCAAATCAGTTTTGATGACTCTTATCATGTTTTGGAAGAAGACTATTATAATTATGATAGGACTCCAGTTAAAATCACACATAGAACACAATGAGAAGATCTAAACCAGGGTAAATGAAATGTATCATGTCCTTATAATAAAAATTCCCACCAAACGACACATAACATGCTACGATTTTTATATTTGCTTATTTCAAATGTATAGAAGTTTCCTTCAGTTCTCCAACTAGATGCTATTTATTCTCTTTTCCAATCATTATTCTCTGACACAAACTTTACCTCCTCACCTTTTGCATGGTCAACACTCTTAAGGGTTCCAAGAGATTCATATAATGTATTCGTAGTGCTTACCAAAAGCTAAAGTCAATATTTATTGTCCTAGTTCTGTGTCAAACAAGATTCACCTTGGCTTCTACTCAAGGGTAACGATAATCTGGTATAGACTCCACAACCTATTGACTATGATGTGAATGTTACCTGGGGTTGGGGTTAACAGTGAGTTTAAGATTGCTAAGGATAAGAGACATTCATTTAAAACTTAAGCAGAGACAAAGACCAAGGTACAAGAAGAGTCCCTCATTCTGCTATTTGTTAATTGCATGATTTAATAAGGGAACATCAGATTGCACATCAATCATGGACTAAGATTGTGCAATTATGTTTTCCATATGTTAATCACCCAGATTTTTTGTTGTTAACTCTTCCTAAATACATAAAACATTCTATTCAGTATTTCACCACTTTTGTAGCAACTAAATAGAATAATGAACTAATTCAAAAATAAAATCACTAAAAAGAAAACACCGATGTAAATCATATCTAATTCAGTATTTGTCTTTGAGATGGATTTTATAATTCTATTCTCTCAGTGATCTCATCAGCAAAACAGAATAATAAGCAAAATCCAAAATGAAAACTCTCAGAACCAAACCAATCCAAAAATTCTGATATAATAATTTAATCACATGTAGCAGTTACCTGGTCAGAGGGAGGGGGTGAAGCTCCTCTAGCGGTGGAGAGCTTGAAGAAGAAGAAGGTTTGCTATGTAAAGTTATGAGATTTTTTGGGTTGGTACATGTAAAGTTAAATTTTGTACAAAGGGTATAAAATTAGAATATGATAATGACTAAACACAAAAATTACGGGAAGAATTTATTAACAAAAACTCATTACCTGATGAGCCAGTGTAGTGATGGTTGTGTAATGTCAAGACACAAAAGGCAGCCAAAGTCTAACAGAGAGGGGCAAAGGGCGATGACAAATAGGATGTCGAAGAATTTTTTTGACAAAGGAGGGCGATGGTAAATAGGGTTTCAAAGGATTTCTTAGAAGTTGTCCAACTTTTTTTATTCTGCAAATTAATTGTTGGGATGTGAATAGTCACAACTAAA